AGGAACCTGGAGCCTAGGGACCTACAACTTTACAACTGCTCTGAGATTATTTTTTTGAGATATCCATTAAATTACAGTTGAAGACAAATACTATGATAGCCTAACATCTGGAATTCTCTTTAGAGGCTGAGTGTTTAACATTCATAAGCTCTAAGTATTGCAGAGTCTGATTGTTTTCATTATAATATCATATTAAAGAAAGTTTGACCTTTACTTAAGGCTAGAAGATAGCAATTGGGTAATATCTGATAGTGCCTTTATAATTGATGACATTTTTAGTCAACTGCCTTTTTACATTATTATGTAGTATTCCATTCATACAGATTTTGTATGTAAAAGGTTAAATATGATAAAATGAATATCTATTTCTATGTTTATGTAAGAAATAAAGTATAATACCTAAATAACCCATAATCAACCATTCTGAATACCTTCCCCCATAATTAGTGCTATCCAAGATTATTAAGTTGTTTTTGTTTCAATGAATTTTCTGTAAGTATTATCTTGCTTTAATTCAGCAGTTAGCATATTTTAATCACTTCTGCATATCTGGTGGTCACAGCTAAAGTTCATTGCTAACAGTTGAATGCTGTTCAATGCTTTGAATAAATCACCACATGAATCTACATTACTTTGCTCTTTGCCTTTAGTTTTCACACTTCAACAATGATGCAGTGAGTGCTCTGCACATGTTTCCTGTCACACACAAGTCTCAAGAGAACAGAAGTAACATTGTTGGGAAACAGTCTTAGTACATCTTGAACTTAACCTAAGATGTCCAATTATTTGGTAAAATGATTATGCAAATTTCCACACATACACTTAAGGGAATCAACAATCTTGGCATTATCTCTGACCCTGCTATTGATACTTGAACCCTATATCAAGTCTGTACTGATTTCTATCAGTTCTACTGTCAAAGTATGTCTAAACAGGAGGAGGCTTGTATCTCAACCCTAAGACTCTCAGATTCTCACCAAGGACTATCAGTACAGGCACCAAGGACTACATCCCAACGGCCAAGGAGACCATGGGAACTGGAGTGCTTTCGGATGTCGAGAACTCTGAGGTCACCCACCCCCATTTGGATCTACCACATGGGATGGAAGAAGCCCAAATCCTTCCTCGCAGGATCCAAGGCCATTGGAACAACAGCCAGGAGCCCTGAGTGATCCACAGAAACAGAAGAACAGTAAACTTCCTTCGAGACTAGGGAGGGGAGCTTTCTCTGGTCCTACTTAGTTCCAACTTTGGATCCCCACCCTCTCTTGCAATGACCATTAGGGTCGCTTTGGATCACCCCCCCCCCCAAAAAAAAAAGCAAACAAACAAGAAAAGTTAGAATAGACAGACAGAGAACAACACGAAATGGTCAGCGTGGATCCACATATACCTTACTAGGTAGAACACAAAGATTAGTTACTCCTCACTAGGGTATTGAAGGTTTCTCTGCACACCCCTCCTAAAACTATTCTGCACCTAAACTGTTGACAAATGCCTTGTTAGAATTATAAGCCAGTTTAGACTATCCTAAAATCTGCCAAGTTCAGCAAAACTATGATTCAACACTATAAACTGCTAAATACTAAAATGAAAATAGACATGAGACAGCTGAATAGTACCCTACAGCCACTTTAAGGTGTATAGCAGCTGGTTCTGTGTATAAACAAAAATTGAAATGTCAATGAAGTGGTCACAGGATGTGGTTAAGAACTTGCATTTTTTTTTAACATTTTGATTACTCAATACCATGTCAATTAATTCCATAATGTTGTAAATTGTTGTTGGTGTTATTCTGGGGCTTCCAATTGATCAGGGTGATATTCTAGCAGCTCTACCTTCAGACCAGAGATGGTCTCCCCAAGAAACCATTGAATTTATCTGGACAATAAGATGCTGGACTCTATGCTTGGACTCTATAAACTTGCAATGAAAGAATCTTGACTTAATTCCTACTTGTCCAGTTTTTCCATGCTCCACAGGCCTCCCTTGATAATTCTTTTGGCATAGCCATTGTCTACATCTGAAAACTTAATTGTTATTCATTCCTGATTATCCTTCTGCTTCCCCCACCATGGTTTACTCTGTAAGCTTACAACTTATACAGTAAGACCTTTACTGACCAATTAACTTCAAAGTGTGATTCTGCACCTCTCCTTCAATCTTTCCTAAATTTTCCTTCTGTTTTGTTATTTTCTATCTCTATAATTCTTAGAATGCACCATAGAAGTATAATAAATATACCAATAGCAGAAAACTCATCAGTGTTCACCACTATACTGAACAGATTATCTAAATCAACTTAGTAAATTCTCAAAATCATTGCTGAAGAAAAGGGTTTTCTATTTCAGTGACAACTCTGATTCCAGTGCTTAGGCTTGCATGGTCCTCCACTTCCACATCAGTTTCTACCTTGAAGGTGGATGTGGGAGGAAGTGGGATAATATACGTGGAATGTGTGACTCACAGGAAGGATGGCAGCAATTGCTTCCCTACTCTCCGTGCTGAAAATGCAACATTTTTGCACTTCCAAATAAATAAAATATTCAAAGTGGAGTTTAAATATCAGTTAGTTCGTTCATTTTGGAATCTAATCAGGAAAGGCATTTAGCCTTAAAGCACTATGTCTCACATCATACAGTCTGAGTTTGATTCGTATTTTGGGCCCTGAATTCAACTTCAGGATAATGCAGGTGCTAGGAGATGGCAGTGATGGCTCAAGTGCTTGGTTCCCTATTATCCCTGTGGAAGTTCTGAATTGACTTCCGATTCTCTGGCTTAGGCCTTAGCCCAGTTCTAGACATTGTGAGCATTTGGTGCAGAGAATTGATAGATGGAGTGCCACAGAGCCAGCATTGTGATGTAGCAGGTAAAGCTGCCATGTGTAATGTCAACATGTCATATCAGTCATGCGGGCACTGGTTTGTGTTCTGGCTGCTCCACTTATAACCCAGTTCCTTGCTACCAGCCTAGAAAAAGCAGTGAAAGACAGATCAAGTATTTGACACCCACATAAAGCACATGGAAGAAACTGTTGGCTCAAACCAGGCCTAGCACTGGTTTCTGTGACCACCTGGGGATAAATCAGTGGATGGAAGCCATGTGTCACTCTCTCCCTATCTCTGTCAATCGAACATTCAAATAATTCTTTTTAAAAATGAATAAAATTTAAAAATCATTTCTAAGTAGTTTAAAATAGCTGCATTGCTTGGGACTTGCTAACTCTGAGACACCAGAAGTGAGACATTATTTCTTTTCTCAAAGGCCTTATAGTTAGTGATTTCTAACTGTTGGTGCTCTAGGATCAAAATTTTAAGTATAATTTATTCTTTATAGAAGGGCAATTTTGATTACTTCATGATTCTAGTTGGATGCATTGACAATATTTCTGCCCTCTATGCCTGGTATTGTTAAATATTTTACTGAAGGACATTTATATAGGATTCTAAAGATCCTTAGTAGTGGCTAGTGCTGGCAATATAATTGTAAGGTACAATGCAAGATGAAAGTGAGGATCTGTGCTCAATAACCACTAGGGATTTCAAGTTGACAACAGTGCTTGGCCAAACACATAGCCATTCTAACCACAAAACCTTGTGACTGCACAAGTTACACATTCAGAAAGTGGCCCTTGTAATGGCTATGTATAATGATCACTGTGTGGAAGCTATTTCTTTTCAACTAATATTCAACTGACACGGCTGGGAAAACATGAGTTACAGAGGCAGATGGTGGTATTCATTAGTCTTATTTTTCTAATCATAGAGATTAAGGAATGATATGACACAATCTGGGATTAACTTCCTCATTAAGCAAATTATTGATGAATTATACTTAATTAGTGTGTAGAGTTTGTTCAAAACTATGCTATAAATGAAACATGCACTGGAAAGCAAAATAGAACATGTGACTCTGTGTTGTATAGATCTCCATGTAAAAGACAGACACAAAAAGGAATAAATAAATAAATGTTACTGAGTACAGACTGGTAGTACAACTTTGAAATGGCTAAACAAGGCTCTTGCAGGAATAAACAGGACGGAAGACATAACACTGCATTTAATCATGTAGGCGGGCCTCTATGGGCTGCAAAGCATGGAAGTTCTGGCCACAGTTTGCAGAGAACTGAATCCTCCTTCACTTACCAGTTATAAATGGGCACTGAGCAAGTTATAAAATTTCCATCTACCTCATTGTAAAAAATGGGAATGATAGTATATGCTTCATAAAATCCATGTGGAAATCAAATGAGCTAAAGACTGACTTTTGAGTTAAAAACCTTGAAAACATGAGACTTCAGAGCCAAGAAGCAAACAGAGTTGGAAAGAGGAGGAGAATTCCTGGCTGAGAGCCACTGATCGCCAAGGCTCTTGGGGCTTATAAACCTCCAGGCGGCCACTGCGGAGGGGTGTGATGCTGAAAGAGGAAAGGCTCTGGGAGGGAACACCAAGGCAGCAAGTGCTAGATCTGGAGTGTGAAAGATAATGTCTATTGTGGTACTGATTTCCTGAACCAAAGGGACCAATTAATTCACATCAACAAGTCTGCCAGAAAGAAATACAGTTAACTTCTCATTTGCTTTTTCTGGTTTCTGGCTACAAGAAGATTTTCCAACTTATGAAGAAATCTGAGTCAAAGGAACTAATGCGATAAAAGAAGAAAAAAAACCCAAATCTTTGATACTCAGTATTATCTTCTTAGTTTAGCTTAGAAAAGTCACTCACAAAGCCTAAAGCCCAGGCTCAAAAGCACAAAAAGTTATTATATCACAAAGTTAAATTACCATTTTGTCCCATCTTTTATATCTAATTTGTTACCACACATGCTGGCAGCTCCTGGCATTAACAGGGAGAATTCCCTTTGATCTAACAAAAAAGTCAACTTTTCAACAAATGAGCAAAGAGTAGCCATATTCTAAATACCACCAAGAACATACTAGTTCATAAAAAGTCTCAGATGAAGAAGAAAAGCCATTCAAAGAGATGTGAAGACAACTGTACCTTGTGCAGCTAATTCTTTCCACCTCTCTTTGTTCTGCTGAATGATGTCCACCAGATTGTTTTTGAAGCTCTTCAGGTCCACGGCTGAGAGGGAGTAATCAGGGGAGTAATTCCCATCCGTCGCAGAGCCTTTTGAGTTGGGTCGTCTCAGTGTGTCAGCAACATGGAATCCCGCCACGCTGGGGGAGCTGACCGTCACAACCACAGAAACCAAGATAACAAGGTCAGAAGATGGCAGGAGGAAAAGGTTGGAAAACTGAACTGATTAGAGAGGCTGAGTAGCAGGTGCACAGCCCCAGTTTTGAGCTGATTGACAGCTGTTCATCTCTCTTCCCTCTCCCTCCACATGGAAAGGGCCAGGGACAATCCTGATTACACTCTGAGTACTTCTCTTTTCTTAGTTGGGCACATGTTGTATAACGTAAAGCCACTAGATGGCAATACTACCTAATAGTTATTTTAAACATTGCCTGCCTAGCTGTGACAAACTAGAATAATCAAGTAAAGATTTTCTTTCAAAAAATTGATGATCGTACCTGCTTGCCCCATAGTTAGAATTTTCAGGTTTAGAGGCTTCCTCTATAAGAGGAATAACAATTTTCTCCGTTGAGTCTGTCAGAAGAGAAAACGTTGGCTCTACTATGAAATCAATGAAACCTACAAAAGCAAAAAATCAAGTAATTAATGCATATCATAAATTCTAGAATTCTAGAATCAGTAGTAATGAAGGGTGTCTGGCACCCCTTACCATTTGCTACTGGTTTAATTCAGAATGTAATGGATCAATTACCGTGTAAAATAGTTTTTCAAGCAGTAGAAGTGACACAACTTAAGCTGTCAAATCCTGGTTTTGCCCCGTAAAAACATCACGTACTAATGCTAACAATACATTTAGATCCAGTGAGAGTGAAGACACTTTCTTCCCTTAACAAGAGAATATTCTAAAAGGTCTTTATTTGCTTGTTGGATCTTATTTTTGACTAACTTGAAATAAATATCAAACTTCCAAAGAACCTAAATTGAAATTTGCCTCCCTCAGGCTAAGGAAGGCAAGAGCTTATTTTCTTTTTCTTCACTGTAGCTGGCAGAGCTTTCTGTCAGGGTGTTAATATTTCAAATTGCTGTTTATTGTTCCTTAGAGGTAAAGTGTTAGTTCCCAGCGTGTGGATGTGTTCTGTCACATCACTGAAGAGTCACAAATGACTTCTCAGGAAGGCAGCACTCATCCCACCGCGCTGAGATGTCAGGTTTCTCAAGTCTTTCTAAAGTAGTCATCCGGGTCAAAAATGACCCTTTGGGGGCACTAACTGCTCAGTGTTCAGGGAGAGAAGGAGATGAGCTATTTCAAGCCCTGTGTATACTTCAACATCCTGAGGTCTCAGGTGAGCTTTGCTGCTTGGAATCAAGTGCTTGTTCTATGGGAGCATTGTCTACCACCTAAATACAAGTGAGTAATTGGAAGCAGGTGTTTGAAGTGACAGTGCCCTGGGAAATAGCTGCATTTGAAGAACATCTATCAGATGCTCAGATAAAAGAACTTCATACTTCAAGGAACTGGATTACTTCTAGCAAATATTAAAGCACATTTTTAACTTTAAAACCCAAATCCAGTAGTTTCATATTCTAATTGGCACTTTCAAGGCAAGGCAATACTAATTGGCCACTCAGGGCACTGTGTAAAGTTCTATGGTATTTTAATGCTGGAATATGTAGATTGTCAGAGGAGTCATTGCCTCTTTTAACATGGCAACAATTTATACTGCACCAACAAGCTCTGATGAGCCCTTTAGCCTGCCACACTCCCACTTACTGGATGATAACAGGCACTTGTGTCATGATTTTTAGAAAAACAGTTGTTGCAACTAGAATGGGAAAGAAGTAAGGTCTTAGCAATCGCTATTTTGTGGCGACACATCACAGAGCTTTGTGGGAGGTATTTCTGGAACATGACTAGACAGGTAAGGGCGAAGACTCCTCTATTTATGGTTCATATTATGGAAAAGTTGGCTCAGGGGTGATTGTCCTAAATACTTGGATCACCCAGCATTACAGTAGCATATTCTAATAGTGGTTTAAACTTGAAGCCCCCAAACAAGTGCAAATGATAATAAACATGGTTGGAAGCAATTATCAACTGCAAACTTCATATCAACTTATCTATTCATGCTTATATTTCCAAACTATCAGCTGGTGTATTTAGTAGGAAAGCTTAAGGATAATAGATACTTTTACATTGTTATTGAGTTATCCTAGGCAGGAGTGGCGAAACTTTTTTTCTGCCAAGATCCATTTGAATATTTATAACATTATTCATGAGCCATGCAAAACATTGAGTTTTGAGTTCTGCTTGCGGTTGCTTTGCCAGGGCCAGCCAAATGGATGTCTGTATGACGCACACTCCCTATCCTTGAAAGGATGAATCACAGAAATCAGCAACAAAACAGCAAAAGATAATCTATTACATTGGAAGAGAGTTCTGTAACTGGGGGGAGGTAACTGGTAAGAATTACAACCAGAATAAAAACTATATTTCCCAATGCTGCTGTACTGGATTAATCTTGTTGCAACTTGGACAGGAAAGAGGTAAGGTTCTAGCCATCACTTTTTTGTGGCTACACATCACATACCTTTGTGGGAGGCGTTTCTAGAATATGACTAGAGAGGTAAGGGTGAGAATTCCTCTATATATGGTTCCCAAATTCTTATTTGGCACCATGTTGCTCAGTCTAAAGGTCAAATTTATCATGGGAATGCAATGAGGTTTCCGCAGCATGATGGATGAACAGCATGATGGATACACTGATCACTTTCAAACAGCACTCCAGCATTACCTATTTGTGACTGGGCCACCATGGTAGACTTCCGATCACAGAGTGGGGAAAATGGAAGCCCTAATTCAGCTTCTTTGTCTCCCTGTGCAAAGAGAGGCAGGAAAAGCTAAGGTTATCAAAGCCTTAAAAAATCACATATTCCCATTCTTAATCATCACTACTTTAAAAAAATGTGCAAAACCAAAATGCTCAGACTTCTTTGGCAGACATTTATAAAGGAAATATTTTCAGCACTGGGACCTGCAGCTTCACTATCGTAAGCCTTTCACTGTAAGAAACTTTGCTCCTTTAAATTTTCTTAAGGCCTCATAACATAGTCATTTCAGTGCATTATTTGGCATTTAATTAACAATCCAGCTCAGAGAGCTTTCTGCTCCATTTTTAAAATGCCAAATATATCAGTATGTCCGCAGTACCAACTTTGTAAGATTAGACTGTTTTATGACATTAAGAGCATATGAGGGGGGTAAAACTAGATGACAGAATAGGGTAGGGTCTTATTAAAACGGATTGTGGGCATGTATAAGACACACAAAAGTTTCAAATTTTGGAACACTCAGGATTTCACTTTAAAACTAATCTAGTAGGAAATAAGATGGCGGAATAGGGAAAGGGCACATTTAAACAGATGGAGAAACATTAGCCAGGGTGAAGCAGAGAGGACAGATTCCAGGAAAGAGGACAGGCTGATGGCAGGCCCAATGGGGCTAAAGACCAGCAGCAAGCTTCACAGGCACCGAGCAGGGAGAGAACTCACTTCCGACTTAAGGTATTGCATTACTCTCAGAGGGAACATAGTACTGGCTTGGCATCCTGTGGGTCCCACCCAAAATAGGTCCAGGTGGCCCTCAGACCTAATAGTCAGCAGTTTCTGGAAAGCCCAGCACCACTGACAACCCAGAGATTTAGGACATCTGGAGTCTCCCTAGTGTCAGGCACCGCTTAAACTGGAAATAGGAGAACGACTGTGCAGGTAATGGTGCAGCCACAGCACAGGTTCACAGGGAGTGGAAAGTAGTGGCCCAGGAATTGGGGCTGTGGAGACCAGGGTGGAAGCCTACCGCATGAGCCCAGGTCTGAAACTTGCCAGACAGAGTGGCACCAGAGACTGCAAATGAAGATGTGGGTACTGAATGCAATCAGTAAAATTGACCTGTAGACCAGTGGATGACTCAGTTTAGAAACTGGCCCTAAGGAGAGGAATCTGCTAACCAGAAGAGCAATGACCAAGAGCAAAAGAAGAGACACACACAATAAATATAACTGATACCTCTCCCACAAAGGAACAAAAGCCTTTGTCAACCCCAGAGTTAACTGAGGAAGACATCGAGGAAAATGGGGTATAATGACTTATAAAATCTTGTTCTAAAGCTTGTTAGCAACAATGAGAAGTATTTACAGGAGTCTAAGCAAATTCAGGAATATGTCACAGGAAATAGCAATACTGAATTATTAGACATGAAGGACACAACGGAGCAAATTAAAAATTCAAAGTAAAGCCCCAGTAATAGAATGAGTGAGTTGCAAGAAAAATTTAATTAACAATATTTAAAAAATACAATAACAATAATTTAAAAATATCAGAATTAGAAGACATGTCCTTCAACAATGGTGAAAAAAATCAAAAACCTGGAAGAGGAACTGAGACAAACTAAGAAAGTATTCAAGAACTAAGACATTTTTAAAAGGCCAAATATGAGATATGGGAGTTTCCAAAGACATAGAGAAGCTAGGTAAGAAAATGTATTCGATGAAATAATAACAAAAAGAACGGGAAAACAAAATAAAGGAGGGGCACAGGGCTCCTCAAAAGATTGACAAAAAGCGATCTCCATCACAACACATGATAATCAAGCTCTTTTCAGCTAAACACAAGAAAAAGATCCTTAAATATGCATGTAAAAAAAGGTCAACATATAGAGAAACCCCAATCAGATTCACAGTTTAAGCTCTCACAGGACACTCTACAGGCCTGATGAGAATGTAATGACATATTCTAGATTCTAAGAGGAAAAAAATTGTCAGCCCAGAAAAACTTGCCCAGCAAAGCTTTCCCTTGTCTTTGAAAATGAAATTAAATTCTTCCACAGTAAAAAAAAAGTTGAAAGAATATGCCTCTTCCAGACCTTCCCTTTTCTCTGCCAAGACCAAATCAAATGTGGAGAATATCCCAATAAAACAACATAAAACTAAATCAAACAATGAACAACACATTGTTAAAACGACAAGACCATATTAGTACCTATCAATATAAACCCTGAATGTAAATGACTTAAACTCATTGATCAGGCATTACAGGTTAGTGGACTGGATCAAAAGCAAAGTCTATCTGTTTCCTACAGGAGACATAGCTTACCAATAAAGATATGCAGAAACTGAAAGTGAAAGGATGGAAAAAGATACTGCAAGCTAGTGAAAAAGAAAAACGAGCTGGTGTAGCCACTCTTACATCAAATAGAGAAACTGATGTAAAAAATATTAAAAGAGATGAGGTAGGATACTACATAATGATTAAAGGATACATTCAGCAAGAACAGATCACCTATTCTGATGTTTTATTTTTGTCTCCAATTTTACGTTGTTTTTCTCTCGTTTTTTTGGCTAATCTGGCTAAAAGTTTCTTTTGCTCATTTTGAAAAATGGTTCTTTCTTGTTGCAATTTGTAGTTTTAAAATTTCAATTCCTTTTATTTTTGCCGTGATTTTTTCCATCATTTCTTGCTGCTTATTCATTGTTTTCTTTTTTATTAAGTCCTTGAGATGTACTATTACATCATTTATTTGAAATATTTTTTGTAAGCACAGGATGTTATAAATGTCCTATTTAATTTTGTTTTTCTTGCATCTCATATGTGTTGATATTTTTGTTTATTGAAAAAAATTTTTTCTGTTTTCAATGACACATAGGTCAAATAGTAGCGTTATTTTCTTCAAGAAGGTTCTTGATTTTCTTTTTTATTTCTTCAGTGACACAGTAGTCATTCTGAAGCATGTTATTTAAGTTCACGCTGTTGTAATGGACTCCCAATGAAACAGTTAAATACATCTTGACAATAAGATGCTGGACTCTCTGACATTGTCCTCAGTTACAATGTCAGGATACACTTAAATGGCAGAATATACTTCATAAACTGATTATAAAGGACTACACTATTGTAATAATATAGGGGAAACCAGTGGGGAGAGAGAAGATTTTGGGAGGGGGGAAGGGAAATCCTAGAGCCTATGGAATTGTGTCATAAAAGAATAAAATTAATTAATTAAAAATAGTATATGAGCGGGGCCTGGCACGGTGGCCTAGCAGCTAAAAGTCCTTGCCTTGAATGTGCCGGGATCCCATATGGGTGCTGGTTCCAATCCTGGCAGCCCCGCTTCCCATCCAGCTCCCTGTTTGTGGCCTGGGAAAGCAGTCAAGGACAACCCAAAGCCTTGGGACCCTGTACCCGCATATGGGATACCCAGAAGTTGTTCCTGGCTCCTGGCTTCAGATGGGCGCAATACCGGCCTTTGCGACTGCTTGGGGAGTGAATCATCGGACGGAAGATCTTCCTCTCTGTCTCTCCTCCTCTCTATATATCTGACTTTGCAATAAAAATAGACAAATCTTTAAAAAAAATAGTATATTTTTCATACGAGCATTTTGAAACATTTTTCTCGTCATTAGTCAAGTCTTATTAAATAGCTCCTAAAAGATAATGGACTGCCTCAGCACTTGTAAATTCTGTGTGCATAATTGTATTCTAACACATTGTTTTCAAAAAAATGAAAATGTGAATGACTTTTTACTATTATTTAAATATTATCTACAATAAATTGAATCTGTCAAGGAATTCCATTTACATTCACGTTTAACATCATGAGATACATCTGGATTCTTGTCACCAAAATAAAGGTGATTGCTGGGCAAATCGTCATGACTACAAGGTTTATGAAACATTTATACATTGCTTTGCATTCAAGGGAATGTTGTTAAGAAATAAACAGGAGAGAATTTCCTGTCCTTCTTCCCTTTAGTTAACCGGCTGAAAGCATGTTTTCACTATATTTTTGCACAGTTTATTAGCTTTTTAGCTTCATCACATACAACAATCCTGCACAGGACTCAGTATCTGCTAAGGGCTGGAAGTTTCCTTCTATTTGGTTTCATCTGACAGCATTTTATCTTGATGAGCGTAATGTTATTTCAGCCTATGCCTTTGAGGTCTCGGTGACCAAGACTCTTGTCAGGGGGTTCCCCTTGGGACACAGTGTGCCCTGTGCCTATGACCTCCCCCATAGGCCAAGTAGGCAGAGATCCAGGGGTGTCTCCCACAGCATGCAACTGGTTTTATTGGTCAAGGACTGGTATGCCATTTGAGAACACAAATACATTACATATAAAGACATTTTTATGTTTGTCACTTTGGTAGACCCAACAACGAGTTAGGGCTGGAAGAGGCATTGCAACGATTTAACTTCCATGAGCTAACTTGTGTAGAAGATTGCATGTTTCTGAATGAGAACCTTTAGTGTCAGACTGGGGTTTCCACAAATATACAGTTTGAACTTCCTGTGGATGAAATGATAGGCTAATATTGTTTCTATTTGTTTCCTGTAGCCCACATTAATTTAGATTATTAAAATTCTACTAAAGCACATTCAATGCTGTAGCGCATTAATTATTCAATTTATTTATAAATATTTCAAAGTGTTATTTATTCCTTTAAGATAAATAAAAGCCACAAAAACAGGATTAGCTGGGCTTTGGAGCTGAACTATGTCAGCACTAAGCAACCAACAAGGATGAGATACTACTAAAACAGAGGAGGAAGATACAGAGGCAGTTAGGGTCCCTGAATATAAATCTGATCAGCTTTGCAATATGTCACTTCTCTTCCTGGATAGAGAATATATCTTCTATCAAGATGAACTCATGATCACAGCAGGAAGCACTGTGTAAGAAAAGTTATAGTTCTGGAAAGTTGTGCTTTTCATTGAGGTTAAGCCTTCAGCAAAACCAAAAATATAAATTTTAAAAATCAATAACTTGGAGCAAGTTCCACAGTTCAACACATTAATCCTCCACCTAAACTGCCAGCATCCC